CCGCCTGGCCCTTCAGCCCCGTGACCTGATCCTTCTCCTTAACCTGTGCGCCCTCGACGATATTAAGGCCATCGAGCGCCGGGCTGGAGATATCCTTGGCGAGTTTCTGGTTCTTGGCGCGGATCTCGATGCCGCGTGTTTGGATGTCAAGGACTTTGGTTTGAGTGGCGTTGAAGTCGGGGGTGTCGAGTTGGGCTTGGAGGGTTTGGATGCTGTTTGGTTTGTTAGAGAGAGATGTATGGGAAGTGAAGGGGGAAGGGAGACTTACCCTTGCAGCTCCTGGGCTTGGATTTTGAGGTTGGCTTTGATGCCTTTTTCGAGATGGGCTTTTGTCATTGCGCAGGTGGCGTTGCCGGCGGCGCCGCCGCCGCCGGTGACTGCGGAGGCTTGTCCGGCGTTGCAGCCTTGGTTTGCTGGCATGGCGAAGACGGGGGCCAGGAGGGCGAGGAAGAAGAAGGCCTTCATTTTGGTGTGGTGGATTAAAGATTGGGAGATTTGGGAAAGAGAGTGTGGGGTTTTTGGAGGGAAGCGAAAGGGCTCACACCGGGCGAGAAGTTGAAAAGTATACTGGGGAAGATTAGACTGATTGTTGTACTGGAGATGTGTTGAGTAGATGGTGTCAGTTACTTTTATATATTTCCAAATCCCTACTCTAATATCCTCCAAACCTTCTTTTCCAAATCACTCGGACCGAACAAATAACATACTTGATCGCCGTACATAGAGCCACGCAAAATACGGAAATGTCAGCATTCCAACACAGTCTGTACCTCAGTGCCGAACCATCCCGCATGCTGTCCCTTGTGACGCGCCACTTTCCTACTGGCGAGAAGACTGCTTGTTTCGGTGCACGAGCTCTAGAACAAAAATCCCCACCCAACCATAATAGCGCCCTAATACAAATCCCGAGCATGTGGAGCTGTGGTTCGTCGACTCCGGTGTACACTAGTTGGCGGTCAAATATCACTAGAGACGACCGTGATACTCAAAGGGGGCGTTTCGCGTCGCATGTCTGCGGATGAAACTAATCGGTCCGCGTCAGGGCTTGTTGAAGCTTATTTCTGTGAAGCGAGCATGGCGCAGCGGGAACTTCGTCACCACGGAGTATTCCTGGGACATTTGTACGATGTTAATTGGCTATGGGAGTGGGTGTAGTATGGGAGTGCCATCATGTTACAACGGAAGACGGGAGGGTGACGGGAAAGGGGAGCGAGTGCGAACTAGCCGCAATTTCCACTCAGGACAGGTTATGCAATGCAATAATGCCTTTGGAACTTTTCATGATAATGATTTGGATAAAAATAATTTTTGAGACATTGTGCTTCGACACGAAAGATTTATTTCAAGGTGGCATGTTATGCCGAGCAGGTGGAGCTGCAAAGAGTGAACTGCCGATCTGTGTATACAGCAACCCACTTTTCCAACCGCAAGGTACCCGCACATACCCGTCAAGCTTTCTTAGTATTCACATATTGTGACGGATGTGCTGTACTCGTTAATGCACTGTCAAGTACTGGGCAGGATGCTCTCGGAGCAAGCGACTCTCCGGTTACATCTGCTGTCCGCATCAACCAGCCATAGGGCAAGATCGGTACTGATCATCAAGGCAAGAAAGCATTTTTGAATACTGCTCTTCCTTCAAAAAAGATAGCACGGCTGATCGAACCGTACGTCTGTTTTCTGAACCCGAACTTCGAAACTTTTGGATTGGGGTCCTCAATCCAAGACTGTTGGCGTTTACAGCCAAGACGTGGAGGTCGATAAGGCTGTTCAAGCTATGGGCCTGGCCCTTGTAGCGCATCCCTTGGCATGCGATGACGATGTGGAACCTACACAAGGATCACACGGGTTGGAAGATGGATGCTGCATCGCCAAGAATCTATGGGGCCTATGCATAGTACATGTGTTGATTCTGTCCGTAGCTGAACGTTTGATTTCAATCAGCTTTCCTACTCATGAGGCCTGGATTGTGTTTGCTTCTCAGAGAATGTGAACAGCATTGTAGCATTCATGTAGTCACCCCTTTAATTGCCCACGCATTGCTTGAATAATGTCTCTTAACCACGCGTGGCGCCTTGAACTTTCTCAAGCAACTCCAGTATTGTAGTAGCGCTTATTACTGTACCGAACTCCGGATTTGTGTACGTCAATATGGAATGAATGAGACAATTGAATGGTTGGTTTTCGTATGTCACGCGGCTGGAGATCAGGCAGTTCGATACTGGGGATGAACAGCGTCACCACGAGCCTCAACAGAGCAATAATAGAAAGAAATGGAGGACTTTCGGAGATGTAAACCTAGTGACTGATTTGGACATGAAGAACAATTCCGGGAGAAGGCTGGCTTTACTCAGTGCCACAAACTGCGTTTCCGCAAGAATAAAATCACAAATGTTTCAAAGCTAAGATCGAGAAGCCCAAAACTTCCGACAACGGTTTATGAGAAGTCGACACCGTCTTGGTTTAGTAGCGGCTCATGGGTTTGTTTTACAACGAAGTAGTTAGTACACTCAACACTGAGACAGAGTCAAGGGTTGTCAAGACAGCTAAACAAAGCCCTAGTAGGCGAACGGACACATAACTCTGCAAAGCCGTAAATATCGGGCAAGGGGCTGTACGAATGCCGATGATATCTAACTAACGTGTTGAATAAGATTGCCGCAGGAAGACTTAGATAAGGGTTTGGCAAGACTTCCTTACTGTACGTATTATGGGACCTAGGAGATTTATTTGTTAATGCCATCCGAATCGAGAGGCCTTAGCTAGAAGAAGTTGTTATTGTAGAAGCAGAGACATCCAAACTTCGAGATACACCTTTGAGAGTTCCACGGCATGGTCAAAGATAACCAAGATGTTACAATTTGGTAGACAAAACCAGATTCGAGAGGGTTTCTTTTTACACTATCCTAGAAGAGCAAATATGGAGAAGGCTCTGGAAAGTATCACGTCAGCTGATCGCCGAGAGGTGAATTCAGTTCATGAACAAAAGTTTAAACTAGTCAGCAGCCAACGAGAAAGTCTGCGAAAATGAGAGAGCAAATGATACGCGTCATTTAGATTCATTCTGGATCGAAACAATCGAGCTGTCTTCTTTTTATTACCTCGGCACTGTTCTTAACTTGGTTACAAGATGGATGTGCACATGCTTATATATAAATAGGCTTACCTACCATTTTCTCCGAGAATTGCTCACATCTTCGCAACCTGTAGAGTGCTCGGAAGTATCGTAGCTCACACAATGCATATCGCCGTGTTTCTCACTATTTCTCACTATTGCTAGCGCTTCGCTCGCTCTCGCGCGCCCGTCCCGTGTATTTGTCCGTCAATCTAATTGCGTTACCCAAGTTGTAATTATTTCCAACTTTTGTGACAAGACAACGACAAATGTATGTACAGCAAAAAAAGACTAACATATAGTTTGTTAACAAGTACCCTTAGGGAAAAGTATGTCGCAATCTCAGACCCCCGTGCGTATATATTTAACCACTCTGGCACACAACCTGGGTCTACAATCCAAGCCATACCAAAATACTCGAACTTGGCTGAGACGAAACAGTCTGCAAACCCCAAAGAACTCTCACATACTCCAGGTCTGCCTCAGACTGCTATCACAAAAAGGCACTGACCCAGATGTCTATGACCAAGACTTTACTGTAAGTCACTTTACTTCATTCACATGAGAATTCAATTTGCAGTCAGTATGCACATAGGTTTATTGCTGCTAAGAGAAAGGCGCAAAGCTGCTCGAGGATATTCTTGGGGCACTAGCTTTTACAATCGAGCCGCTTGAGTATCAAGATCGCTGTATGAAGTCGACAGTAATTCTTGCACTCAATTAGATAAGAAGTGTCACCATGTTACTTGGGTAATATGGAGTTGAATGGGGTTACTGGACGACGAACAAAACGAGCTATTAGTAGCATCGGAGATTGTTGTTAGAATTGAGACTTGGGATAAATATATGCACCAGTTAGCAGTAATGAGGTACCAACAATAGCGTTCACGCTACTATTTGATGAGCAGATTGGGGCAATTACCATCAATATTTGGTAGAAGTTGTGAAATTGATATTGAGCGCATGTAAATGATACTCCACTATCAACTCGTATGCGAAAAGAAGTCAACATGACTACGAACGTTACTACGAACAACCTTGTTGTTACATATCCTTGCCTATTAAGCCAACTATCAAGAAAATAACTTTACCAAAATATCGAGAGAACTACTATGCGTTGTATAGCAACTGACAGCAAAGCTCTTCAAACGCAGTCACCTATCAGTTCAGATTCTCGAGAGGTACTTGTAACGAGACTGCTGGGATATGCACCATGCCAACCGTAAGAACGGAATACTTTCAGATGATGCCTGAAGAATGAGATTGTACTAGCATCAAGGTATAATCTATACCGTGTGGTTCTCCATCATATTTCAAAGATAATTCAGAATCATAGCAATATGTCCGATTTTGCAATAGGCAAAGGCAACGAAGGACTTTGGCGTACCACTTACAACTCTTTAATGTTGCAGAGGAGACACAACATGCAGACAGGAACCCGCAGGGTATCGCATCGTTTATCTGGAAGCTACTGCGGAGATAAACGACAAGAGTTGAGACACCGAATTGGTACCTAAACTAGAGAGTGTACGACAATTCAATCTCTCAAATATACACGGCATCCCCCGAAGAATTTAAATCGACACTACCATCACTTACCTCCAAGAAACTATCCGGGTAAAACTTCCAAAGTAACCGACTGCCCATCGTCGTTATCATCCCGAAAAGCCCCGCACCTCCACGTGACCCTAATCCCACAGCTGCGGCCTCAACAAGCTTCATCACGCAAAAGAAAACGGGGTGTGCACACAAGCATGGCACGACTAAAAAACGCAATCCTCCACATCGCTAATTCTGCCTTTGAATCTACTCGACCCCCTTGAAAGAAAGGAAAGAAGAGAAATACTCACAATCAATCAACGGGAAAAAAAAAGAGCACTTCAAAATGCCCATCCAAGTCTCCCGCATGACCAAATCCGACATCAACGGCGCAATCGACACCATCCAACAAGCCTTCGCCAACGACCCCTACAACCTCTGGATCTACCCAGACCGCTCCAAGATTTCGCTCGAGCGAAACCGCGTCTCCCTAACCCTGCGCTGCAAATGGGGCATATCCCACGGCCTCTTCTACGTCGCCCGCGACACGGCCTCACCCTCCAAAATCCTCGGCTGCGCAATGTGGCTCCCGCCGCACCCAATCTCTGAGCCCGAGTCCTGGGCCGAGTACCTATCCGGGTGGTGGCTGTGGCTCAACCAGGTGCGAATGAATGCGTGGTACGGGCGGGGCGGGTTGTCAACGACGCGGTATTGGATTTGGAAAGCAAGGCAGGCGGAGGCGCAGAGGGAGCTGTGGACAGATCCTCAAGGGTATTATTTCTGTAATATTGTTACGGTGTTGCCGGAGTGTCAGGGGCAAGGGGTGGGCAGGGCGCTGATGGAGGAGGTGTTGCACATGGCTGATAAGGAGGGGAGAAGGGCGTATCTGGAGAGCAGTCGGTGGGAGCCCAATGGAGCGATTTATGAGAGGTTTGGGTTTAGGTTGGTTAAGGAGATGGAGTGTAGGGATGGGGAGGGGGAGAAGGATGCTGTGATGCTTTATTGTATGATGAGGGAGCCGAAGGGGAGAAGTTAGGGGTGGATGATGAGATGGGTGGAGAGAGTGGGGGAGGAGCGGTATTGTGCGAGTTCACAGTGAAGATGCCATGCTATGCTATGATGTTTGAGTATTAGACGTATGCTACAGTACCTTGGAGAAGGTACAGAGCAAAGCGACATCAAGACGATTGTAGTCTCTCCTGGAAAAGAGCCAATCAAGACGTACGTGGAAATAATTACGTCAAGAGAGAAGTCGACATTCAGCACTGCGGATGATGAGCAGCAACGGGCTGAAAAGCAGCAAAGCAAAAGAGCATAGCCGTACCACACACACCGTCTGTTGACTTCCCTCTTACCCATCTGATCATCACTCCTCCATCGTCGATTCAGCATCAAAACAAGACCATGGCATTTCCAACAAAATCGCGCCACTCCCTTTTCCCCGCAGCCCATCAGAACAATCACAGCCCAACTACTTTTTTTTCCTCCAAAAATCATCCTACAAGATATATACGACACGGCAAATAAAAAAACAAAACAAAACCAGCATGTTGAAAAGATCAAAAAAAAGAAAGAAAACCAATGAAAGCGAACAAGATATTAAAAAAAATAAAACTTACCGCTTATCATATCCCCACGCTACAATTTACTGGATTGCCCCGTCCCCCCCCCGCCCAAAAGCCAACATGCATCAACTACGTCACCATCTTACACACCAACATGTGCTCCCCCATGCGAGAAGAGCTTTTGCGAGCACCGCAACCGAACCGCAGCAGCAAAAGCGCTTCGCTTCGCTGCCCCGGGGTAGCGCAGACGCATCTCCACGCGTATTCCCGTTGCCGAAAAAGAAACCAAAGAGAGACGGAGAGTCACTCTCGCACACTCATCATCATCATCATCATCACATAATCGCTTATCCCTCCCATCCATTTCCGAAGCTACGGCGGGGAGGGGGGGGGGGGCACATAGGTCGTATTCGCACGGGTAATTTGCGATATCGGATTTTAACAATAGCAGTGTAATACCCTTGAAGATGCGGGACGCGAGAGAGAGAGAGAGAGAGTTCGCGTTGAGGTAAAATGCGACAAAGGCGGAAACAGTGTAGTCGTGTAAAAAAAAACGCGCAAGAAAGGCTTGATACGTAAACTGGGGTTTTAATTGGGGGGAGAAAGGAGTGACATAGAGATGGGGGGCGGGGAGGGGGAGAAAGAAACTCTTCGTCATGATCGGCAAAAAAAAAGAGAGAGAGAGAGTCCTGGGTTATCTCTGGCTGTCTGTCTGTCTGTCTCTGGCTGGAACTCTACCGAGATCCAATCATGTAACATATACACATAGTAGTAACGTCTCTCTCCCCCCTCCATCCCTGGTCGGGATGTAAGGTATGACAATGACCCACCCACACACACATACCCAGCGTCCCTCCCCCTCACCCCCCTCGTTGCACACACACACGCTTGGCGTTAGGCCATTGTGCTAGGGGGCAAATCGAATCGAGCCATGCATAACGCCGTTGCTTTTTTGTCTCCGGGCCGTTTGAAAAAGAAAATAACGTGGCCCTGGTTCGAAAAAAAATGTGGGTGTGTGTATGCAGTGATATATGTATGCGTGTGTGACAGACCGACGCTTTCCTTTTCCTCTTTTGGAGCCGAAAATGGGCTCTGGGAGGGTGGCCTAACAGGAAAAATGTGACTTACTCCAAAACTTATCGGCCCGTAAACAAGTTCGTTTGTGTACCGTACACATGTTACATACATATGTACGCTATATATGTATGTATGCATCCCGCCCCTTCCTTTCTCATGTACGTATGCCGCTATATGCCTGGGGCTGCGAGTGATCAGGTAGTTCCGGAAGATCCATGGGCCTGTACTAACTTGGTCTGGGGGGGCAGTTGGGATTAAGAAAAAAAGAGGGTCTGGTTCGCCTGGTGGTTTTAATAGTTCGCCCAGTAAAAATATTTTTGCTTGGTGGTTAGGGCAAGGACGACGTAAGAAAATCAGTCGATCGAAACTCTGGCAAAGAAGCAATTAAGTCGGCAACCCCAGCGTGATGGGCAATCTGACATGATTCTTTTTTTTCTCATTATTTCGCTTGTGGGTACTACTGCCAACCGGAATGCTTGGATATAAGCGTGTACGGTGAATATTCGGCATATGCCCAGCGTTGCGTTGCAGCGGTTGAATATGGCTGTAAGGGAAGCAACATGGGTGTGGGCGCAACGTCTTGGTTTCTACTATGTATGTACTGGTTGTCGTCTCGAGGTAAGATTGTCGGTGTGTTCGCATCCACGATCCGGAGCATTTTTTTTGTTCCGGACGGTTGCTCAACGTGACGCACGCCATACCCCTGGTCCGCCCATGATATATCCTAGGCTGTAACATACTCTATTGAAGGCAGGCTCCAAGACATGGTCAAAAGCAAAAACTACCCAGGGCCTAGCGTCCAAGTAAGTAAGTACGGGTGTTAGGCGAGAAGGATATTCACGGATGGGGAAGTCACAGGGGAGCAAGCGTCTGGAACGGGTGGCCATTGGTGATCCGGTATCTGACAACGGGATCTCAGTGTGCGATTTTTTTGCGGACGGCGCGCGCTTGCATGTATCCACCAAATCGAGCGTACATATATAGGGTGAGCAACTATAATAGCGGATAGTACCACGCAGTGTGTGCAAGCCATGTCATGGGGTGACGGCTGTAATTGTTGGGCAGTGAGTGGCGGCGGAAAAAGCGGAAGGAGAAAAAAAATAAAACAAAGAAATCAAAGGTCGATGAAACGCACACCGGAGGTGAGCCGCGCATGTTGTGCCTTGTCGAGGTCATGCTGGAGCGGTCTGTTTGGAGGGGAAGGGGGGCAGTTCCAAGTCGTGCCAGGCCGTGGATCGCTGTGGAGGCAGCTCAAAGGAGGGGTAGTGTAGCGGGCGCTGGTGGAGCGCGTACTAGCCGCAGCAGCGTGAAAACATCGGTGCATGTGTCGACAAAGGCAGAGGCCGGTGCTGCCGTGGTCATCAGACCGGGTAGGAAAGGCAGATGGAAAGGTGGCCCAGCCGTGCATTAAGCGACTTGGGTACACTCGACACAGCGATCAGTACTTTTTGTGTAGGGGCCCCAAAAATAGGCGTTCAATATACGAAGGCGCCGCTAATCAGGATCATGCAGGCGTGACTGCTTTTGCGCACATTGGCAGGTAAATAGAGAGTTTCTTCGGGCGAGGAGACGGGCGCTGAATGGTTGTAGCGGGGCCATGACAAGACCACGTAAGCGCATGGTTTAGCCTAGAGGCGATCTAGAGGACCAAGACCAGGCAGTTTGTCGATCTGGTGAGGTGAAAGAAAAAAAAGCGGACGATGCATGCATAGATTCATAGTCGCACCCGCGGGCCCTGTCTGGCACCGTCATTGCAGCTGACGAGGTATGTACGCAAAGGATTATTGGGGCCAGGCTTTGTTGGTAGCGAGGAAGGGTAAAATGTCGAGGACCCCTTGCCGGAGGGAATTGGAGGCAGTAACACCGAGGCTGGCGTCGCCTTTTGACACATGGGCTGATTTGTGACGACGGTGGGATGCATGACTGGCAGGCAGTCTTACAGGCGGATGGTGAGTGTATAGTATACGATGGCGGACTAGGGGGGTGGGCGCTGGAAGATTAAAGCGGAGTGGCATTGCCGGATTGGTGCGTAGTATTACAAAGAGTCAGATCGGTGGTGTAACCATAGCTAGTAAGCGTGGTGCTCGAGGTGGCCCGACCTCGGATACCGTCCATGTGTGGTGCTGATTGAGAAACTTTGCTTCTATATTAGCTGCCATGTCGACGCCTGTTGCATCAGCAGACGCCTTAATGCTGCTGCTGCTGCCCTGATTCATGGCGTAATCCTATGCTCGTACGTGTTGCATGCAAGGGATGCAGGAGACCGGGTCACCGTCAAGCGGCAGAAGCAAAACAAACGCCAACCATTGTGCGTCAAAACGAGTCACTGCCCAACCTGGCAGCAGTTGCGTGAGCAGCATAAAGGCCACCGACAAGCAAGTTTCATGAGCTGCGACGCGTCGTGTGAAGCCAAGTACAGCGCTCACATTACTTTTGCACAAGCCTCGCGAAGTGTGAAGTGTGACGGCCTGTTGCAGTTGTGTCGGCCGAATGGGGGAGGGGGAAGGGGGGGGTTCAAGGGGTGATGAACGGCATGCCGCTCCCTATTTTTTTTCTCCTTCTTGCACCCAGCGCACATGGCTCTTGTGAATGCCATGCTGTCTGTCTACCCAAGTACGTACTTGGGTGATGATGATGTACGGGATTAGCATGCATTGGATGCGGCAGGACATGAGCCGTGCCTTGCTCCCACTGTCAACCAAACATGTGCCGCCTGAGCAGCATAGTGCGACCCGGCAAATGTCGAGCGCAGCGCAAGGAGGCTCACCGACGATTAGTGTGGCTGCTGATCAAGGCACCCCAAGGGCAGGCTACGGAGAAGGGCGATTGGTTGCCAATTGGGTCAACGTTGAACAAAGTGGGCTGTCGAGCCGCCTAGCAAGGCTAATGCTCGCTCCCTAGGATAAAGTGCCGCCGCGTCTGCAAAAGACTTTGGTGTTTGACGTCGCCTTGGGGCGGGGGTCTAGAACACGCATGGTAGCGCCCATAGGAGGCGGGTCTGTCTGTCACTACTACTACGACTACAGATGGTACTAGACATGGCCGTGGTGAGCAACGATGCGGCTACCGAGTTGACCACTTGATGCTGGAGCAACTCCCTGTGGGTTTCGCGCCCTCGTGTTTGATTAGCCCGACAGACGGAGGGATTCCGGGTGGTGAAGGTGGAGTGGAGTAGGATATTTTGGGGGGCGCGATACGAGGGCTCAAAGGAAGAGAGGCGGCAGGCAAGGCGCGGTGTACATGCGCTTGGATGTCTATGTATGTATGTATGTATGTATGTATGTATGTACGTACGTGTGAGTGTGTGTGATATAGATTGTGTCGGAGGACCGATGCGGAGGCGACATGGAGACGCTGTGGCAGAGAGGAATGGCCGTGGGTGTGTCGACCAAATGTGGAGATGGGCTTTGTTATCGACAGGGAAGAGGGACGCACGGGCTGTGACGGGCTAGCGTAGGCGGTGCCGCTTATACTGCAATCTTTGTTCTTGCTACCACTCTAGTGTCTTCGACGATGAGACGCCACGTTTGAGACCCACTCGACTCGTGGACCGCGCCCTGGTACGTCATTCAAGGGTTTCTTTCCCGTGTTGCAGATTGCCGGACTGGGCTGGGCGTGGCACAAATGGGCAGCTGAATACGCATACATGCGCTTTGATGAGGGCGCAGGACCCGCGCCGCGTCAATCCAAGCGGTGCGCCCGAACGAGGCCGGACATGGTCTTGTTGAAACGGCAGGCTGGTCAATCTCGATTTGATGAGCCCAGCATGCGCACAATCCGGCTAGTCGGACTGCGACAGTCCGAATAGTGCAAATGGCTGCAAAGCATCTCGTGTCCGAGTGACGCACGGCACGGCGTCGCGAGCTGGCTGACGAGATGAGCGATGGGGCGATGGGGACGACGCAGGTCAGCATTTGGGATTTGGGGGTAACGCCCGTATTTTGCAGATTGTGTGCATGTGGTAAGTATGTGGTATCTGTGTGTGCATGTGTGGACTCTAGTGTATGAGTAGTAAGAGCACGTAGGAAGCAAGCAAGCACACCAGCAACTGAAGGATGGAGGGATTTGCTTGCTGCAAGCCCGGTGACCACTCGGTGCTTACTTTTCCGTGTACAGTGTCAGGTTGTGATGCACAGTGTGGTACAGTTGGCTACGCCGCAAGGTGGAAGCGAGGATCCAAATGACCGAGGCAGGCTGAGAAGGCAAGAGCGACAGTCACAGTGGGCGTGGATAATGGGGAGGGGGCGGCAGCGGCATGTGCTGGTCACGGGACCTGGGCCCCATCATCATGACTTGTCTGCTATGTAACCAAGCAAAGCAACACACGGATGGATGGCTGGATGGTTGACGACGACGACGACGACAACAACAACAACAACAAGACAGGCATCATGTGCGGAGCCGGGCGCGGCTGCAGCCAAGCGGCGGTTGATAAGGCACGTTTTCGAGTTGCATGGTGGTTGGGGTAAGTAATGAGGGAGGAGTCCGTCAGTCAGTCAATCCGTCAGTCAGTTAGTCGTATACATAGATGGAGTATTGTTTTGGCGAGCAGATGCAGGCCCCCTGACCGGATCCTGATGGTTTGGACGAGACGACGAGCATGCGTGCGCCCGCGTTGGACCGCTGCCGATCATTCAGGCGGGACGAAACCAGGGTTCCTTCTCGGCGCTTCGGCTGCATCTCATCAGCGCCCGCTCCGGGGATTTGTGCGTGTCGAACGGCGATGCCGGTTTGGGCGTGGCGGCCGTGGGGTTGTGGCCAGGGGAGGCGGCGTGAGCAGCAGGTGCAGCCAGCATTCGTCGTCGTGATCGGGTGTGGCCAGATGACAGCCGGCCGCCTTGCGACAGTAGCAAGTACTCTAGACTACACTACTACGAACGCGCGTATCGCCAGTTATGCCATGCGGCGAGGGCGATGCAGGCAGGCTAGCACCGGCGTCGGCGTCGGCGTCCATGTCGTGGTTGACGAGTCTATTGCCATGGCCGTGTTTCGATGGGCAAGCACAAGGCCGGGCGGGACAGGGCCAGGGCGGCGGGTGCACTGGTTTCAAGGCGTGCGTGTGTGGAGCATGGCGCTGGCCAAACGTTAAAGTGTTTTTTTTTTCTCCCTCGCGCTCTTGCTTGTCTCTCTCGGCGTGCCTAAGCCCGGGCAGCACCAATCTCCGCGAGCGTGTCGGCCGTTGGCTGTGTGACGCAGGCGGGCAGTGGGTGCATGGGTGGGTGCATGGGGCGAGGGACAGTCTGATGCTGCATCCGTTGCACGTCGCGCCGCTTGCAGGGACGGGCTGGCTGCATGTCGATTTCTGGAAGACGGTCGGCTAGCCGCTGGGCCAATGGCGTCGCCGGAACACCGCCCGCCCCAGATGGCGCTTGGATACCCAAGGGCCAGCAGAGTGGTTTGCCGGGTGCGAGGGGGAATGGCATGTGGGTGTGTGTGGTGGGTGCGCGTGTGCGTGTGCGTATACAGTATAGCTAGTCCTATGTGCTATCTATGTATGTTGCAGTATGTACATACGTACATACTTAGCATTTGCTGCTAGTACCAAGTACGACGACATGCCATGCCATGCCTCCACGGCCACATCGCGACTTACAGGCCGATGCTATCGGCTGGCATTGGGTGCCATTCCAGGCCCCGTGCCCGCTTCCCATTGGCTGCACGCCCGCTCCCGAGAAAACATGTCGTAGCCCACCCAGCACTCTGCACCTGCGCCAACCAAACTCTGAGCCCCCATCCATCCCCCATCCTGATCCCAATCCTCCCATCGACCCATCCATCCCCATCCATCCATCCCCTGATCTCACCCGACCGCTGCTGCTGCTGCTGCTGCGGCGTGCTACCTGCTGCTGCGTCCTGCGTCCTGCTACCGCCACACAGGCTCACCGTGGCCGCCGGCCTGCGCTTGGAGGCCCACGCCCACGCACTCACACACACACACACACACACACACACACACACACACACACACACACACACACACACACACACACACCCCTCCTCCCACAACACCAGTACCGCCG